CATATTAACTTTTATATGTACATTTAGAGTGCAAAGTTTACGCAATTATTACACAAAATACAGAATCAATTAGAATTTTCCTTAACGCCTGCCTTACAGATTCACCACATGGAATATAATAATACTAAGTCAACGTTTGATCTGACCTCAGCTAACCTTCACACATTTAACATGGGAAGATTGAGATATGGTCTTAACTTCTTCAGAAAATTTATATATACGACCTCAATTGATTCGAAACATCTTCGTGAAAGTGTTAATTGTAATTTTAAGATTTGAATAATATGTTATATGGGTAGTTTTTATCTTGGAACTTCTTGCTGATGTATTTCAAAGAATTGAAGAATAAGAATTTTCTAAATCACTCGAGTACACACTTTGTACTCGAGTTCTGTCAAAATGTAAAAATTGATGTTCTTGAGATGCTTAATTTCAACAGCTATTTCATAAATTTGTTGATTGTATCTTATGCGATACATCCCGTTTTCTTTCACGTGGCCAAAAATTTTTCTGAGTATTTTTCCTTCAAAAAAAAAAAGATATGTGTTCCACGGACGACGCATTCGCAAGCAATACAATAAAAACACATTTGCACGTGACTTGATCAGTAACATCTGAAGCGATTTAGTAAGGAAAAGAAAAGATATATTGTGCATCGTTTTATTGCTATAAGTCTTAAGCTAAATACTTTGTTCCTGAAGCAAAGCAGATGAAAAGTAAAGGTCCTCAATAGGGCTCCGCCTAACATTTCTCAGGATGAACGTAATCTTCCTCGTACGGCAAAAACTGTCCTATCTCAATTGAGATCAGGATATAGCCATGTGCTTAACAGTTACTTGTCTCGTATTAACACGTCCATTTCTAATGTGTGCCCAAACTGCATCTCCACGCCTCATGACGTCGCCCATCTGTTTTCTTGCCCCAACGCACACACCAATTTAAATCCAATCGACCTTTGGACTCGTCCCCTTGAAGTAGTTAGGTTTCTTCGACTGGATCCTGGTTAGTTCCAAATTATTCCCACCCCTCCCCCTTCCTTCATCCCAACACTCATTCCCACCTTTTCCATTCCTTATCCCATATATTCGTCTTGTAATCCTTTCATGTTATCTGCCTTCAGGTCCCGGCGGGTTATAACAACAACAATAACAACAACAAAAGTAAATTTGAATTTTGAACTCCAGGGTGAGTTTGCGTCATATAATCGGTGAAAAAAGTGTCACTGCCTGTTTTTTGGGGTTGCAAAAATAATTTTAGATACAATTTTATAACTCATATTATTGGATTATATGAATGCAAAAATTCCTCAAAAAGCTCCGATTGTTAAAATAAAAACAAAATAACATCCAAATAACATTGACTACACCTCTCCGATTCTCGACTTTGATAGAAAATTTATTGTTAGATTCCCATCCAGGGAAGCTTGGTTGTCAGGAGGTCCCTCCCTGGGTGAGGGTCTGCAAATTTTTACTGATGGTTCAAAGACTGGGAGCGGCGTAGGCAGTGGAGTTTTCTCAGAGGGGCTGAATATATCCTCCTGCTATAGGCTTCCGGATCACTGTAGTGTTTTTCAGGCAGAAGTAATTGCCATTAAGGAAGCTTTAGCTTGTCTAGAAGTAGGTAATATACTTGAAAGGAATATATATATACTATCGGATAGTCAAGCTGCTTTAAAGTCCTTGAGTTCTATCCAATTCACATCTAGGACGGTCCTTGACTGCTACACATCTCTAAATGAGATGTCGACGCAGTTCAATATTTCTCTAATCTGGGTTCCCGGTCATAGGGATATTTACGGCAATTGTAAAGCAGACGAGCTAGCCAGACGTGGTGCTTCAGGGAACCACTCGGAACACCTAAACAATCTGGGCATATCGTTGACTTCATGCAAATTGATTTTGAGTTCTTCCTGTGCCGAACTTTTAAATAAAAGATGGGAAGACTCTGCGATATGCAGGCATCTGTATGCAATGTGGCCACAGACCAACAATAGAAAATCGAAATCTCTTTTAGAGTTATCCCGTAGAGATATCAGTCTTGTAGTGGGTTTACTAACAGGTCATTGTATTCTAGGTAATCATGCTAGGAGACTGAATCTACCGTTCAACCATTTTTGCCGCAGTTGTGGTGAGGATGACGAAAGTGCCTCTCACCTGCTTTCTTCGTGTCCGGCACATGCACGGCGTCGCCTTAAATTTTTGGGGGCTTTCTTTTTTGAGGATCTTGACGAACTTCGAGAACTCCCTCTATGTAGCATTGTAAGCTTTGTTAAAGGTTCTGGATGGTTTTAGCCCGTGGGTTCTAAATAATACGGTATCACAATGGGCCTATGGGCCTAAGTGGATCCCCCTGGGATCGCCGGTTTAACCTAACCTAAAATAAAAACATCATTTTCTATGAAGAGAATGCACCTGTACACACAGTTCGAAAAAACCTTCGCCTAAATCAATGAATTAAATTATGGATTGTTGCAATAAGCAATTTATTTAGTATATTTAGCTCCCTCTGACTTTTGGTTTTTCTTAAAACTGTAAAAATATTGGCATGAAAAATGATTTTCATTAAACGGCGACTATTTTGGTTTTATAAAAATGCATTTAAGGCCTTTGAAATGTTATAAATATTAATTAAACATATAACATAAATTGACTTCGTACTAGAATATTAATTAAGTTAGCTAAAATATCTTCAAAAATTTAAGTTTCTCACAGTTTTAAAGATACCGGACAGTCAGTAAATCGGCTCTAAGATAAATCTATTAAAACAAGATTTTTCAAGGCACTTTATTTAAAATTGATAATCGTACGAGCGTAGACAGTTTAATTGCTCAACTTGAAGTCAATTTGCAGTTTTAATCATTTTATAATTTCAGGTAGGCGTGAGCATTCAAAAACTGTTAATATTTTTCTGCAATTGCAGTGAAAATATAAAAACATTTTATATTGATTATTATTAAAATTTCTATCAACTACAGTCTCAAGTTATTTATAGTTTCAAGTGTAGATGCAAATCGCAAATCGCAAAATTCAAAACACACATCCCAGACTTGTCTTCATAAGACAAGAAGAAAACACCAAAATTAATGGTTCAAATATTTGCACAACGTGAATATGACGAAGACGTGCCAAATGGAGACACATACATTTTGGTCAAACTATAATGACTTTATGCTACAATTTAATTAATGTGAATGACTTGAGCACAACACGATGGAACAAAGTTGTTTTGAGGAAGCTAAGTTCCACCATAAGTCATTAGTTATGTGTGGAACAGGTGAACAATAATGGTCATAATAGCCACTAGTAAGCGCAACACATAGCAGAGGCGTTCATAATTGATTTTATTAACAATTTAACAAAAAACGAAAACCAAAAAATAATTATAAACAATATTAATAAATTGTTTAAAACAAAACCCACAAGTTGCCATGTATTCGCATATTGCTACGATGAGAAGCTTAAAAATGAAGAAACTTTTAAACAGAAATTTAACTTAGTTCATCCCATGTGTGTAAGACATATGCAAAAATTTGCATATCACGTAAGCATTTAAAGTATTAATAACTAAAAGTTTTTGTCATAAAAATTAGTAAAATAATAAAAATTTATATTAAAACATTTATAGAAAAGCATACTGCCAGAGAGCATACGTATATATCCCAAATAACAACAGGAGACACATAAGTAATCGGAAAATACTGAAGTTTGTGGTTAAGTAGCAATTTGGTTGAAGTGATTGAACTAGACTCGTAGCTAACAACCTACACAAATGTGTCTCATGTATCTTTTGTATATCTTAAGGCATTATTAATAATAACTAGTAAAAACTGCAGTTCGTTCTTAGTATTTGCAGCAACATTAGCTAAGTCTTCCGAATGCAGCAACTGCAAGGGAAGTGACAAGAGACACATAAATACGTTCCACTAAGAAGAACTTAAGAGATATTACTCGTATTTTGTTTTAACAACAAAAACTTTTTGGGTTACTAATAATAAGTATGCTAACGATTAGTTCAAACGTATATTAGACAATTTGTTCCGCATAACGAGTGGGTTGGCAACATAAGTAACTATTGAAATGTGAAAGGAATAATTCAAATTATTTTACTTTTTATATGCAATAGTTTAATTTACTTTATATAGCATGATTCGTTTTCAAATTGGTTAGTCACTCTTTTAAAGTAATATTATTTATTATATGTAATAACAAAATAAATGTGCGGTATATTAAGAAGTACTGCAACTGAAGGGGTTATTGTATTACACTCTACTAGTATAGAATAATCATAAAAAATTGTATGCAGTCAAATTGCTTAATAAATTTAATAATGTTGATTAGATTTAGCGTTGCTTATACTTAATCTGCTATTGGACATGTTCTCAGATACTTTCGTCTTTACATTCACCTAGTACGGGCTCTGACGACCTTCTCATACCGTTCATACCTTCATTAAAAATTGTATTAATTGTGTATATTTACACAGTATTTATATAAATATGTATCATCATATGATGATGCATGTTTTACGATTAAAAATATAAAGCCAATTAATTGAATTAGTTTAAAATATTCTAACAATTGATTCTTAACATTCATAACAATAACATGTACTGTACTACAAGTGGTTATCATAAAAACTGTAACAGTTTTACATTTACTAATATAGATTAACTAACAGAACTCTTTCTCTATGATCACCACTCTCATAATTTTACCGTTTATACGTCCCTAAGAACAATGGAGCAATACGGGTGCTACAACATAAGAACAACTTACACTAACTTTTAATTATTTGTTTCTGCTTAACACAAAACTTTTAAAATTATATATAATTATGATTCTTTTTAAATTTTTATTTTCTTATATACTAAAATCTTAACTAAATATTAGGACACCTAAAAGTTATCTAACCAAAATATATTTAAAGACATAAATCGGTTCCACACTAGTATGGTTGGTTATTTATAAAAATGTAATTTAATTGTAGCAAAATAAAATTATTTTTATAATATAAATTTTATATCCATCAGCCAAAATATATTGTTAGTTATAAAATATAATTTACATTGTCTGACGACATTGTGTATATTGTGAATAATTGAGACTATTGCTATATTCCAAAATCACGAAAAGTATTATCTGAGGTTTAGAGCTTAAAAAAATAGAAACAGAGATGAAAAAATTGTTCTCAAATTTAAGATATACATTATTACCAAAATTTAGGATTTCTACTTTCAAAAGTTTTTCATATACTTCTTCATATATGGAAAAAAAATAGTTAGTCAGCTGTCATCACTATTGGCTTTCAATGGTATAAAATTTCGCATTCTTAGTTTCTGTGTTTCTGTGCAGGTGCTTTCACGGGTTCGACAGATCTGATAAATTTCACATTTTTAGACTATTTTTCTAATATCAAAATAAAGTATTTTGAAACACTACAAAAAACAATCAAAAAAGTATATAATTACTGTGAAAGCGGTTCGTCTTCAGTGCGCAACCAGCTGCAATTTAGAATTTCACGTAAGTTCCAGCGAGCATGAGACTCCGGTTCAAGCAACACAGCAACAGTAGCTTTCGCCTGAGCAGTAATTTGATCCTGTAATTTACGACGGAAAGCAAACTTCTTGTTATTCTGATCTTCTAAAAGCTTCGTTAAATTAGTATCATCAAAAGGCATCTTTGCATTGAGCATTATGAATAGAATAACACCAAGTGACCATGCATCGGCTAATTTGGGATCATAGGGGCGGCCGCAAACAACCTCGGGAGCAGCATAAGCTGCAGAACCACAATATGTCTCCGATTTAATATCACGGCCAGTGTCATCAACACAGTAACGAGAGAACCCAAAGTCAGCCAGTTTTATATTCATACGCTTAGATAGTAGAATATTTTCACATTTTAAGTCACGATGTGCTATATCGTGTGCGTGTAGGTACTTCAATGCCTTAGCCATCTGCATAAACCAAGCCTTGGATTGCAACTCATCAACAGGACCATTTTTCTTGATATGGCTAAGCAAATCACCATTTTCGGCGTAACGCATAAAGATGAATATCTTTGGACCACGTTGTAATATACTATGTATTTGTATAATATTAGGATGATCTATCTTAGTTAAAATTTCCAATTCTCTAGGAAAGAATTTATGAACAAAATCAGTAGGAGCCTTGGCTTTGTCAATGATCTTGCAAGCTAAGTGTACACCGTGTCCCGCTTCATCAGCATAGCCAGCTGTGATAACTGTTGCATATGAGCCTTCACCGATCTTATGCCCGATATTGTAACCGCGCTGAGCTAAAGCATCAATATCAGAACTGCGCGTGCTTAATTGGCGGCTTACGCTATTCGGGAATTTTGACATAATGACAGCGTTTGACTAAAACTTATACAATTTTGTCAAAATTAAGAGCATCTAAAGCCGATGAATATTGATTTGAATTTTTATTATTAACTAAGACAAAACATTTAAGAAATATATGGAATTTAACCTAAATTTTGCAAGATCTAAACCGATTCAAAGGCGTAAGATTGGAAATTTTAAATGAAACACATCAAGTGTAGAACCGATTTATATACAGAAAAAAATATAATGAAAATTTTTTAAATCAATTTATTATTTGACAATTTTCTTCAAATTTTATATACATATGTAAGAAATCAATATATCATTGCATTTTGTTTGTAGAATATTTAATAGGAGTTCAAAGCTTACTTTGTTTTAATATTGATTCAATACATACTCAATATTTGTTCGATGAGTTATATTATCATTATTTTGAGTTTAATAATTGTTTTTCTTGTAGCTCGTTTTCATCTGTATTCTATTTGGTAGTTATTTGGTTCTTTGTGAAAGATAAAGTTCTAAAGAGAGTAGTAAAGTGATGCTAGCTTCAGATCAGGATTGTAGACTCAACCGCTTTAGGAACCTTGGAAACTGTTTGTTGACTATTTTTATAGAGTTTGTGTTTTCACTTTTAATTTGCAGTCTGCTGTCATAACTAGTAGGAAGTTTTTCTCCAACTGTTAGTCTTTTATAACGAATAAACAAACAACATAACAGAATGCATTGACTATATATATATATATATATTTCTTTGTGCTAAAAATTGTACAAAGCCAGGCTCCGAGAAGATTTTTTAAAATTCCATGGTACATTAGGACAAATGACATCCACAGGGACATCAAGATTGATTCCATAAAAAAATACATAAAGGATAAAGCCCTGAAATTATTTGCGAAAACTGACAACACCGCGTCATCAAATCTCAGAATGGTTACAGGCTCCTCGGGGAGGTATGCACATCTAAGGTCAATTATTGCTTAGTCTGATGAAATGATAAACAATAATCTAGTCAAGGCTCAAAGAGGGGTTTTGAAGAAATCTCTAGTTAAAAAAGGGTATAAGTGCTTAAGTGCACTAGCTTAAAACAGCTTCAACATAATATATAAATTGATATATTTCTCTATCAGAGTAAAGTTCTGATTGAAAATTCGAGTTTTGGAGATTAAAAAAATAAAAATTAAGAAGAAATTGAAATTTTAAATAGTGACTTACCACACACTGAAAGGTCAATTTGAAATAGTGTTTCTACCGTTTATATTTACAACAGACACTTCTATCTCTGCAACAATTACACTCTTATTTGTAGAACAAACAAATAAAAAGTAATATTAGGTGTACTTATTTACTTACTGCTGTCCGATTATCCAAGAACTAAAGATTTTTAAAAAACAAAAACTATTTCGAACCATTTAAATAAGTCTAGATACAAAAAGATGCTCGATGTATTGATCCCACACGATTTAACGCAAAAAACCTCATAGACCGAATTTTTATCCACGAATAGCTGCCTAATTGCAACAAAATCGACCCATTTCTGAAGCGGTTAGTGACTGGTCATGAAAAGTGGATCACTTACGATATCGTCAAGCTAAAACAATCTTTTTTACACTGCGGTGAGACGGTATTTTTGTTTTGGGTAATAGTAGAGAAATTGTGTTCTATCAAGACAGCACCAGGCCAGTAGCCAAATGCTTCGGAAGCTTGGTTGGAAAGATTTTATGCATCCACCTTATAGTCAAGGTCTGCCATCAAGTGATTACTATCTGTTCCTGTCCATAGCGAACGACTTTCCTAAATTTTGCTTTAAGAAAGACTTGTGAAAATTGTTTGTTTCAATATTTTGCTAATAGGGACAAGACTTCTGTAAGAGAGGCATAATAAAATTACCTTTAAAAAGACAACAAGTTATATTTGACCTAAATCGGATCGTTCTATGGTAAATAAGTCTTCAATTTCATGCAAATTTAATGAATTTGTTCCATAAAAAGTAGTTATATGGGTATAATTTATGTCAACTGAATTTTTTGTTTTATTTAATAATCTTTTTTCTATTACCAAACTACTAATTTCAATATTTTAAAGAGAAAATAAATTTAATTCCTATTATATTCAATGTAAAAATTTTATTGCAGATCTTGTGAAATCTAATCACAGCACACAAATTCAGCCAGACACAAGTCAGGTACAGAATAATGCAACACGGCAAGAAAAATCATTAAAAGATCCTTCCTTCCTTGAAACAATAACAAATATTACACAAATAAGCGAAAAACAACTGAGCGCTTCTGAACGTAATAGACGTTTAATACCTTATATGGCATTCTATTTACCACCCTCAGACATACCAATAAATCAAGCCTATGCTATACAAAGGGTGAGTTTCATAATGCATATATTTTTCAATAAATTCCAATAAAAGACATATTTATATCACTAGCCTAAACAGCATACTTCAAATTATCAACTGCCACCAACAGCAGCAGATAGCGCTGGACCATTACCGCCACCAGCGAATATACCAATACCAACGGCCTATATGCACATGAAGTTACCAACAGTAGCTACAGCACAACAAACCGATATTTCACAGGATTATCCCAACGCCGGCGATGTATATCATAAAATAGCATATGGTTCTGCTCACTATCCTTTGCCAGCTTCTTTAAAGAACACTGGAAAGAAAATACCAATTTTACATTTGTTACCGCCAGGGCATTCTGCACCAGCAGCGCCAACTCTCATTACATATAAGCACAACAGCGGTCCACAAAGAGTAAGTAAACTCAAATGAATTATAAACGAGTGTCCTTTAACTAAGGATAAAAATTTTTCGCTGCATTTCACTACAGCAAAAGACAGTACAGTATTTTCCACCATTAAACACACAAACCAAAACGCAGCCAATACAACAAGAACATCAGCAACTACAATTGCAACAACAACAACAGCAGCAACAAGACCATCAAGAGCAACAAATTTTATATCAACCTCCAGTGAAGCAATCAAAAATCAATTTAACACCATTCACATCATCAAATACATTGCCAGGACATTTCATACCAATTATTTATACGCCAATGAACAATGCCAATAATAACAACGACAACAACAAAAACCAGCAACATAATGGCAACATAATCAATTACAACTACGCTGACAACAAACCAACAATTGAGGAGTCACCACAAATTCAACAGGTTGAAAAACAGCCACACTTAGACACGCATAACCAAGTTGAGCAGCACCAACAACAGCAGCAACATCTACAAAATGTAGCTGAACTGGAATTATTACAATCAGCACCAAAACATTCACCAAAAGCATCTCATTCACACTCGCCACCACAGCAGCAACACCAGCAACTTCAGTTTATCACCGATACAGGTCTACCAGCACTGACGTCACCTCAACTTCCACAAAGTGGTGTGCATCAACCAGTTGCAGTAGTTCACCCAACAGCAAAGTAAGTTTTTCCTAAAATAATAAATTTTCTTTGTATTTTTGATAGCTTCCAGTCAACAACTTTTTTATTCATTGTAATTACAAACTGCTTACTGCTTACTTATAAAGAAAATTGCAGCAAAATAAGGGTCCAATGGCTGACTCCAAAAAATAAGAACCATTCTAAAAAAATTAAAACTAAAATAAATTTAAGAAATAGAAAATGAGTTATACTAGAAAATTTTTACGCACCTTCTCACTCACCTTCTCTATTCACCTTCTCACTCAGATCAAATTTTATTGTTTATTGATAAAGAAAGGTGGTGCGGACAAACATGGATCCAGTAATTAACTTAAGAAAATTTAATTAAAAATAAAAAATTAAAAGTAAAACCTAAATAGTTTAAAATAGAAAATAAATGAGTTCCGTACAACGGACCATTTCGTCTATAGTATATACTATTTATTCTAACAACTACCTCTGAACTAACAGAAGACATTCAGCCTTTAGATTGAAATATTGTTTATTGAAGATTTCTTAATATATGATTAGAAAATGTACCTTCTCGTTCGGGTCTAATTTAGAATTTGATTAGAAATAGCATCCCTGTCTAGATAGACACGAAATGCTATCACCTAATACAGATTTGCAAGTAAAGTCTTAATGAATGTGTGAATTATACACAATGGCCATCATCACATTAATCCTCTCATTCATTCTATAACCATGGTTAAAACACTGTCAAATAGCCTCCGACATGCAGACATATTATCCGTTACCACAATTTTCATCCCATATTCATCGTTTCGGAGCTTCGAACTAACTCGACCTCTTCGTTTTAGAATGCCTATCAAAGACGATATAAAGAGATGAAACATTTTCCCTTCTTCATAAGCGGATATAGAAACCCGCTGTATGATATATATAATTAAAAAGTGTCAATCCTTATCCTAACACCAAATATTTTTAAAAATGAGCAATAATATGCCCTCAATACTGGTTTCGATATATTTAAGAACCAGAATATTAACTCTTTTTTCTATTCCTTAAACGTGAATTTAGTCATTGAGTTTTCATGAACCGATGGATGATAAGTCTCCATTAGATGCATTTTGACCTGTAGGAGAAAAATATTTTTTTGATCTTTGCCCGTGTTTTAGCAAACTTAGAACAATTATTTATAAAAAAAAATTTAATAGAATATGATAAATTAATAGATTTTCTTATCATATATAAAGCATAATTAATTAGTTTATTTTTTTCACTAATCTATAATCAAAGATAGAAAAGTAATAAGCTAAGTAAGAGTTCTATTGTCGTATATCCAATTTGTCTTTTGTTAAATCTTACTATTATACACTGACCGAATGAACTCTTTGTTGTTTTATTTAGTATAATTGTTCCTTGTGTAACAATTTTTTGTATATTAAACATTTTTTTTAACAATATACATAAAAAACTTTTAGTATAAAAGTGACTAAAACATGCTGAAGACAATTATCGAATTTTGTAATTATGCAAAAATAATATGCCACCGGCAAAAACAATCGGTGCGGCTTTCCATAATGCATTATGAATTGCATGAGTTGCATTCTAATTTTGCAGATAAAATACATATACATCACATATGTATTGTATATGTAGTATATGTATGTAAACTGTTTGGCATAACAGGCATATTGTAACAAATTGAAAATGCATGTCATTTACATCTTCGGGCAAATGTTAGATAATGTTGGAATAGAAAAAAAAATGCATTAGCAATTATAAATTTTAATATAAAAAAAGTTAACTTTTCTTTAATTAACTTATAATAAAAGTGTATTCAAAAAAGAGTTTTTAGAGATTTTGCATTGCTTAGAGACTTACAACTTTATTTTAGCAATAACTAACCATAAAATAAAATTTATTACACATTCATAAAATTTTTGTACGGTTTTCCTCATTTCATTATTAAAACTTTTTTTATATTTTAGTTCAATTTATCATATAATCAATGAACCCACACAATCATTATCATCCGTACCGCAGCATCAAGCTTTAATAGCCTTAAAACCATTACATCAAAAACAACAACAGCAACAACAAAAACCAAATGCATTTCGCATAAAACAACCATTACTACATGCCCCAGCTTATCCACACTTTCATCCACCGCAGCCTGAAAACTTTTTCAATAATGAACAATCGGAGCATGCATCACATGCAACACCCATCACTACACAACAGCAACAGGATTACAAGTACTTAAATGATGAAAATATGACACCTCAGGAAAAATATGTACTCTATTTACAACAACGTATGCGTTACAATAAACAACAACAGCAACAACACCTTAAACAACGTGAACGTGTGAAGGAACGTGAACGTTTACGTGAACATGACCAATATGTGAAACAGTATTCACAGCATACACAAGCACATACGACTGCTGGTCCGCCAACAGAGCAAATATTTATTATCGCTTCGTCTGCAGCACCTGTTGACGTTGAGCCCATAGAAATACAAAAACAACAAGTACAACATCAACAACATCAACAACGTCCACTACAACATAAATTACAAAATAATTATGCAGCAACGCATAATCCTGCAACATATCCTGTCATTGGTACACCACATCCTTCCTCAAAACTTGCCATTTCCGCCAAACAACAACATTATTCGAATGCAAAACCTTTATATTTGCCAGTACCAAAGTTTTTAAGTGAATTGGAAGTGGTACGTCAACAACAAGGACACAAAGAAGGACAGATACAAAAATTAAGACAACATTCCTATAATGATGGGTGAGTATATACACCGCTTAGGCAACCGCTTACGCACCGCAAACATAAACACACAAACTATAAATAGTTTCATCATTTAACTAATTTATTTTACTATTTATTTATTTAATTCCAAACTTTCTGTCCTGGTCAGCATTTTTTAATTAAACAATATTTTCAGTCCTTCTCAATCACCGTATATAGACTACATTATTGAAGAGCCTAAGCAGTCTTTGGATGAAGAACAGCACGGCAGCATACCAACTCAACAACTAAAAATAACTGCTAAACCTACATCAGCGCCACCACAAGCAGCGTATATAGTCATCACAACCGCTCTACCACCAGCAACACCAACATCTGCAGAATACTATGGTTCCACTGTACGCCCAGCTTACAAAAAACAACCTACAATACGTTTACAAGCAGTCGCACAAGAAGATCAACAGAAAAATTATCCAACAAGGCGTCCAACAATAATAGCACCACAACTTTCCAATACAGCATATTCCAATAAACCGAATTACAAGCAAGTAGCCATTAAACT